TGATAATAATAAGTAAAGTTAAAGTCTGGTTGTCAGTGTTCTATCTTCACAAAATACTGATTTTATGTTGTTTTAATAATCACAAAAACATACTAAAATGCTTTTCAAATGGCTGGAAATAACAAAAAACATTTTCTGGGGGAGTATACCCCTGGACCCCCCTAGAACTGCTTCAGTCCACAGCTTGTTATCATGAACAGGTGCTCCTCATTGCTGTCAGCAGATGTTGGCAGGTATGAGGCAGATTTCTGATATTCTCAAATAAATTAGATTATTAATTATTTTAACTGGACAACCTGGTTTCTGAAGATAAAACATAATATCAAAGACAAAACTATGTCATTTGGTGTGAGTGTGTGTAAAAATAGCAGTGAGATTTAGAAAACTGCAGGGGGGGGGGGACACCACCTGAAATCATTTGCTACACTGGCTTAAAAGGCTAAACTCAAAATGGCCCATGAACCACCAGTTGATAATCACAGTTCTAGCACGTTTTGCAGCTTTGAACACATTTTATTAGTGAACCAAGGAGCAGAAATGGTTGCAGACACGTGGTTTAAATCAATATCCTAAAAACAAAGCTGTCAACACGTTGATGTTTTCATTGCATATAAAAAAAAACAGCTAATTTTGGACGTACGGGGGATCTGTGCCACGGTTTTATAACCCCGAGGCTGCAGGTTCACGCCCAGGTTGGTTTGCTTACCGTGTCGACCCCTGCAGAAGAGAAACAACCTAAAGAAAAACAACATTTACCAGATTTATACAGTATGACTGAGGCGTTTTATTAACATGATTTCCATTTGACAGCTCCGGCAGTCAAATCGCGCCGTTCTTTTAACCTAATCTAGTGGTTAATGACTTTCATTTTTGTTGCTCAGCGCTCATGTTTTGTGCAGCTTTTCCTCTGGCTTTGAAAAGCTAATCTGTCCCTAATATAAGCGCATTGGTAGGCCTGCCATCTGGGCTGCATTATAGTCGTGAGGGCATTTGAATAATTGATATTTAGCTATTTATAGGAGGATTATTCTTATGTTGCACCAAGGGATCTATCTATCTATCTATCTATCTATCTATCTATCTATCTATCTATCTATCTATCTATCTATCTATCTATCTATCTATCTATCTATCTATCTA